TCCTGCTGAGGTATGTGAATTCAAAGCAATCCCTCTCTGTGTTCAAAAACTGCAACATTTGTGCTTGTCTGAAAGATCAACGAAGTCAGAAGGGCTTTCATCCCACAGTGGGTAATGAGAATTTTACTCCCATGATGAGTAAGTCCTTTAGTGTTAGAACAACTTTTGCAGTTGTTTAGTTGTTTCGTTTGTTTGTGGGACTTCTTTGCAAGAAGTGGCTTTGGTTTTATACTTTTAAGTCTATTAATCTATTACTGAACAACCAAAAATCCAGCTGCCCTTTGCTTGCAAATTGATCCTCCACAAAGCCTTTGAAGACTATTAGAGATGGCAAATTGTCTTCATAAGTAGCTTTCCTCACTATTATCCAGCCCTTTTCTTTAGAAATAAAAACCCTACAAACAAAGGTTTTTTGTTCTGTTCAAAACTCAGCTAGAAGGCATAGTCACAAATCATTTAGATCACTCAGGAATCACTGTGGCTACAAGCGATGCAGAAGGAGAGCGCACACCAGGATGGATTTTCGTCTAGCATGCGGCAGTGTGTCAGGGAGATACGCATTATCTACAAATAGAGCACAGAGTCTGGTGGGTTGTCAGACTGTGCTACACCTGCCTCAGCAGGTACATTGCTCCCCTGGCTTGTCAGGCTCTGCTCCCAGGGTATGTAGCATGCAGCCATCCCAGGAAAGATCTGATGACTATCTTTAAAACAATAACTTCCTTCCTCGCTAGTGGCCCCTGAACATTTTGAGGGATTGATGAGACCAATCTTGCAAATCTAGGCTTATTAGCTTGCAGTGGAGCGCAGCGATTGTCAGCTTTTGATAAGTGTTTATTATTCCACATACATGTTGAATAATCTTGCATTAATCCCATTTCTGTTAAAAATCACCTTTTCTCTCAACTCTGATAACCTTTTCATCCATTATCTAGGAGAAATTTCTGTATCATTATAAAAGGACACAGGGCAATGGGTAATTGGGTAGGGTTTTTTTTTTTCTTCTCGCTTGAATGAAAATGGGTGCCTTTATGGGTTTAACCAAACAGTTCAAGCATAAAATCCATATTCACTGGGCTGTCATTTAACATTAAAAAGGGTAGGGGGATTATTTGGGGGCCAGCCACGCTAATGTTATGCTGGTTATTTATAGGTCTTACTATTGCTGATTTTGAAGACAAGTCACTGCTCCAGAAATCATCTCTTACAGGGCTAAAATTGATCATATTCCATAGCTTCTTTCTACAGGGTTTTCTTTGCAAGATACATAGCTGGTTTCTTAAAATCACCCTGCCTTCACTGACCTATTAACCTGCTATATCAGTCCCCATTACACATGATTTATGTAATAGCTGATATTATGATTATATAATTAGGGTAGCCCAATAGGAATGCCTTGCTGTCTTGAGTCAGCAAATAAAGACTTATTATTTCGGACATAATTGCAGGAGGCAGAATGTCCTTCTGGTGCCTGGGGTGAAATGTATGTTTCGGAACAAGGCCATTCAACTAGCAATGCATTTCGGAGTGCTGTAGATAGACACACCCACAGAAGAGCTGCCTGGGACTATATTTTTTTCATAGTAACTGGGGTGATGGCGAAGGTTTGGGAATTGTCTTAGGAAGCAACTTGAGATATATCATTAGCACATTGCTCAGGAAAATAGTCCTGAAGCTCTTAGACGAGAGTGGCTTACAGAAGAGACATAATGAGAATTTCTTAGAATTGCTCATACAACTGAAATAAAAATAAAATAATTGCTGGCACTGGTGCCTTTCCTGGAGTCCTTTGGACTCCCGACGCCCCAAAGCTGGTCATTGCAGAAGTGCAATTATTCTGTGCCAGGTAATTGTAGCAAGGCCTCAACTGTATGTTATTACAGTTTGGCTGGATCTATAGCATCTTGTGACTTTTTCATGCTCTATGGAATCCATATATGTAGAGTGCTTTTCATATATGGCAGAACAATAGAGTTTGTTAATTCTGTCATTTCAAAAGTAAGTCAGTCACTTGCATTAGGTTCAGGCCCATGGGCTGAAGTGAAGGAGCAAATGGAGGTCTGAGGAGCTGAATGTACTGATCTGCTCTGTCTTTCTTGCAGTCCTTCTTTCACACTGTTCTGGAAAATAGCCCTTACTGTGACTCCATGGTGGACAACAACTTGCGCATCACAAATTGGAACCGTAAACTTGGTTGCAAGTGTCAGTACAAGCACATTGTTGACTGGTGTGGCTGTTCGCCTAATGACTTCAAACCAGCAGACTTCCACCGATTCCAGGTAACTGAAGCGGTCTCTTCTCCAATACCCACAAAGAAGCTCTTTGCCCTTTGCTGGGTTGTGGAGAGCCGTCTGGCTGCATGGCTGCAGCAGGGAGTGGGAAGGGAAGCTTTTACCCCAGCAAGCAAGGTGGAGAAAGAGGTGTGAGGAAGCTCTGCTCTTAATTTCAGGAGAATAAAAGATTGGTTCTCCTGTGTTTTGGCCCTTGAGACTTACTACTGTGTGGTAAGGTCACAAAGCAGCTCTTGGGACTACTTGGCATTGGTAGATCTGGTGTGCTAGAAAGGAGGGAAGCTTGACACGTCTCTCACTGTACCAATATTACTTGGTAACTCTTGTGAATTTGCAACGTATTTTTTTCCAAAGTTCCAACTCAGGTGCTTTCATGATTTCTTGGAGCTCCTGGTTTTCATCGTTAAGCAGTGTTTTTCATCTTTGAAAAAAGCTTAAAAGTTGACTAGAGTGCCTGCTAGAGGCTTACATCGCACAAGGCAAATCAGTTTTTGTGATTATATTCATCAACATGATTATATTTAAGTTTATCTTGTGGTTTTGGGGGCCAGAGTCATGAGGTTTCAATCAGCCAGGCTTGGCAGGACTGCCTTAAAAAGTGTAATCGGTTCCTCTGTGATACAGTTTCCTCCAGGCAGATGCAAGAGCAAATCCTTGTGCTCCAGGGTGCACTCGGTCTCAAGACTGTATCTGGCCTGTGTATGTTCTATTAAGAATGAACAACCACTTGTTTCAAGGTCACCAGATTTGCAATTCCATCCCTGCAGCTCCTCAGGGTTCCCTGCATAAAGCATGTTTGTTCAGGCTTTGTGTGGGATGGGGAATGTGTTACCCAGCAGCACAAAAATGGTGACTGCTCTGAAACAGAGATCTTTTCTTTATTGTAATGTGCTGCCTACCAGGCACGGTTGAAGTCAGTGACACAGGCACTCACAAAAAGAGCAAATGAGACATTATCTAAGAGAGGCTCTGCTGCCCCCAACACCAATCCCAGGAAAGTCTCCAGCACAGAATAAATGGCAAGTCTTAAAAAACTCCTGCCAGTCTGCAGAGGCTGACCTGCTCTAGGCTGGGAAAACAAAACACACCAACATTTCAGAAAACAATCAGGTAAACTGAGCTGCAAGGGAAAGTTCAAAATTAGAATAGATGTAAAGGCAACTTCTGACACTTGCCTGATCAGAGAGCCCCTCAGATGAACACACGGCACCAGAAGGCTTGCTCACGATTCCCACGGAGGCACAAAGCAAGCTGCAGAGGAGGAGATCAGAGAGCCCACAGCATGCGCCGTCTCATAGTAAAACTGAGCATCCTCAAAAGAATTTTTCAACCATCTGGGGCACTTCTGAACTCCTCGGCACCTCAGAACCCATGCTTAAATATGAGCAAGGCAAAACAAAGGCTTTTTAAAAGCTAATGGTAGTTGAGTAGCATATAAACCAGTAATATACCCAAGATTGTGTCAAGTGCAGAGCAAAAAATCTGTACGGGACTGGTTAGAAGCTGAGAAACCTCAGCCTCTGGCACTTGGAGAGCCTTCCAGAATAAGGCAGCAGGGGGGTGGCTGTTGGTATGAAGAGATTGGCACACCTACATTTTTGTTGAGTAATTACTTAGTTTTTATCTGAATCTTAACAACACTCTTAAAGACAAATGGTCACAAAGGTGACCTTTTAAGTCATCTTTGCCCATGGGGAGAACCAGTTCATGTCCTCAACTCCAACCCACTGCTTAGGACAAAGTGTCATGGCTGAAAATGGGAACTCACTCCGGTGTCTTTTCCTTTCGTATCACCACAGCAGACTGCCAGGCCAACTTTCTTTGCCCGCAAATTTGAAGCTGTAGTGAATCAAGAGATAATTGGCCAGTTGGACTACTACTTGTATGGCAACTACCCATCTGGCACACCCGGCCTCCGATCATACTGGGAGAATGTGTACGATGAGCCTGATGGCGTGCACACCCTCAGTGATGTCGCCCTCACCATGTACCATGCATTCTCCCGCTTGGGCCTGCGGAGAGCCGAGACTTCGTTCCATGCTGCTGGAGACAACAGCTGCCGGTTAGTCTGAGTCTGTCTTTCTTTTTCTGGGTGTTTCAGGGGACACAGACTGGACTGCCAAGTGCTGGTGGAGGTTCATCTACTTGGCTGTGCTGGTTGGAGCATACCGTCACAAACAGGGCCAGGCAGCTGCAAGTGTACAGCTCTTATTTCCAGGAGTATTTATGCCCATAATAAAGCACTGGTTATTCAGGGTTGACATTATCCGACCTGTTTGCTGCACTTTTAAGGAGCTCCTCTCCAGCCTGATGAAGACTGACAGAATCCAGTTGGGCAGCGCTACCCCCACTGCTGTGTTTTCTTGATTAATTTCAGCAAGTGTATTATACCCGCAGCTCCTAAACCCTCCGTGTGATTGCAGCAGAGGTCGTGTTCACCTCTATTATGCTTACCAAAAGCAGAGGACAGGATTTCAGAATTAATCTGAACACAGGCAGGTTAATGGTCCTTGCTTGTTTGTTCCCCTGGGTGCATACATGGAGTACAGAGAACTACTTGCTCGAGCTCAGTTTGCCTGCTTGGTACAGCTGTCTGTGCCAAAAGTGTTGCAACTGGTGGGATCCATTAGCATCAAATAAATAAAATGTATGTATGTATAAATATATATATATCTATCTCAAATACAGGTCCTTATTCTTTAAAAGGAAACCCCCATATATTCTAGATTCCTCTTTCGCCTATAAGCCTAGCAAAGAAGAATTCAGTCTAAAAGAGATTTGAAAGAAGAATTACTTCAGTTAGGCTTGCACAGAAAACGCTCTCTTCGTGATAGATGTCTGCTGCCTGCAAACACATCTGAAGCTGTTTACGTTCAAAGCAGAGAGGGTTCATCTTTTAAAGTCTCTCTTTGCAGTCTCTTAATTCCTTCTTCAGAATGTATTTTTTTGGACCCTGCCTTTTTTTATCCTAATAGAAAACACATACAACCTAAGTCAGCAAATACTGAAGACACTACTTTTGCTTTGATGGATGGACTGTGCCCCTCTTGTGTTCTCAAGAGGGAACCGAATGCGCCTTGACCTTCCTACTTAGTCATGGAAGTGCTGAGCAATGTCCCATTCAGAAAGATGTGGCAATAAGTGATCCAGATTCCTATTACAGTTTTGCCAGTAAAGGTTACTGGTGCAAAGCAATAAAAGATCAATAACAATTAGATAGAAATAATCACTAGTAGCATGCCTTCCTTATATGAAATAAAGGCAGACCTAAAGAAGTCCTGGGTCATTTGTCCTGCAGAGTGAAGCCAGTAGAGAGGATGGGAGCTATGTATAACCAGTACTGAAATAATTTGACAATTACTTTTGTGCCTATTCCTTTTGCCAGTGTTCTGATGATGATTTATATCAATAATTAATTGCGTTTCTGGAGAGCTTTTCATTGCACAGGAACTCAAGGTGCTTTTCAAGCTTGCTCAGATTATAGATAGGGAAGCCATGTCATCCACTGCTGATTGCAGCTGTCTCCGGTATAAAGCATGGCTCCTTTACAGGAGGCTGGAGCCTCACAAAACAGAGCAGGGAGGAATTGCAAACAGTGATATGGAGTGGAGGCTTCATTTTCATACCTACCTGAGCCCCTTCAAAACACTGTGATTCAGTGTCCCATTTATATCACAGAAAGGTGGATAATCCTCACGTTTATGATTCACATCTCTTCTCTCTTGATACTATGTTGTCTTTCTAGGTGCATGCATATATAAACTACCTCTTTCCTCTCATGATTTTGCATGTCTCTAATGCGGTGATGGCAGGGATATATTTGGGCTGAGCACCTCAACAGTATTCCCTTTGCTGTTAGGGCTAACAGCAGCATGAAGTTAGCTGATATTGCAGTCACCACCCCAGCTCATTTCACACTGCTGCAAGCACTGTGAGGAAAGCCTCTACTGCTTCAGAACACATTTGGAGTCAATCCCATGCTGCCACCCGCAGCGGCCCAGGAGACTTTTATAAGAGAAGCTGCCTTGCACACTTTTCTAGCACGGGCTAGCTCACAGCCTCAGAAAGCCGTGCCCCCTGCAGACTGCTCTGGTACCAAATTAGATTGCATATCAGCATCTTCAGTGGAAGGAACATTAATGTGTGATTGAGATTTAATTTATTTCTCTCGATCTCTAGGCATTTTTACTCACTGCTGCCAAGAGACAATTTACTAAGACTATTTCAAGGATATTTTAAATATTCGCTGCTGCACGTATATAAAACAGGAGGCCTTAGTACTGAGAACAGAAGTCAGATTGTTGCTGGTGTTGGCTGCATAGCTTTGCTGTATTTTTGCTCAGTCTGACAGTGCTGGCCCTGTTTGTACCCCATCTTGTTATGTTTATTTCTCAAGCTCTAGGGACTTCCTTCTGGGTGTTGCTGGTTTCATGTAATGGAAAGTCCTTCTTGGTTAGCTCCTCTTAGTGCTTATGTCTTGAGATGTAATAAGTAGCATGAGGAGTCAGACTTAGCTGGCTTGACTGGGAAGGTGTGATACTGGTTGGTTTTAAATGTGTTGCAAACACCCTTGTTTCACAGTTAATGTCAGTGCTGTAAAGTAGCAAAATACTTGATTTCAGAGCTATGAATAACATGTTTTTAATTATTTATGCATCCATATGTACACAAACATCATTACAGATGTTTCTGAGACTATAGCAGACAACTGACCATAAATTTTAATTATTTGAAACCATGACTACAATGTCTTTAAATCTGGACTGCAACTGAAGGCTTCCAAATTTCCCAATGAGAGGTTTTTCCTGTTTGTTTGACCTTTTGTCAGTTTATTTTTGATTGTGAGTAAAAAATCCATGGCAAATCAACCTCAAGTCTTTAAGGAATGTGAAGCTTTATTTCCTGAAGTAAAGGAGACCTACAGTGGGGACCGGATCCTGGTGCCCTTCGCTGCAGTGCCACTCCACAGAGCATTGCCCTTGGAGAATCAGTTGGGGATCAGATTTATATGCGGGGAATGGAGCGGGGCATTAGCGTGCCCGTGCCCGGCCTCGCAGCACCCTCTGCTGTCCCACAGCAAGCAAGGGAGGCATTGCCATTGCCAGGCGTCTGTAGGGACGAACCTGCTGAAGGCAAATAAAAGGCGGCCACCTGATTTGGAGCAATAGGCACGCTTCTTGAACATCATTTATCATAGCAAACAGTGCTGCAGCCTAACAACATATATCTCCAGGTGGCACTTTTTACCCAGAAGAGGTAGTAGGGGAAGGGAGTTTTCTGGCACACAGAGGTATCTCCTAAAGAGCTTAGAGCTGTGAGTATGTTCTAAATGAGCATATATTCTTAGTAACATTTTTTATGTTTCAGGGTAATTGGAACAGCCTAAGAATATTTGATAATGAGTCATGAACACATTTGAAATCTCTTAATATACAGTGGTGAATTTTCTAGTGGAAATGAATGCTTCTTAAGCCATTAGCTCCAAGTAAATGGAGATTTCATGTCTCTCTTGTGTAGCTGATGAGCGTGTGCATGTGCTGTTTTACAGATACTACCCCATGGGCCATCCAGTTTCTGTTCACCTTTACTTCCTTGCTGACCGTTTCCAAGGCTTCCTAATCAGACACCACGCAACCAATCTGGCTGTCAGCAAACTAGAAACTTTGGAAACGTGGGTGATGCCAAAGAAAGTCTTTAAGATCGCAAGTCCACCAAGCGATTTTGGAAGGTTACAGTTCTCAGAGGTAAGTATTTGTAGCCGCCCATGCAGAATGTCATGAGCCTCTGGAGAGATTGCATACTAATTCAGCAGCCTTTGGAAACTGTATTTCCATGTCATTTTTAGGTGAGAGTGGCGCTCTAGCGTAACGCACATCCTCTTCATTCAAGGAGATACTGTTGCTGGTTCAGATCTGTGGTCAACCCTCACTTCTTGCGTTACTCTGAGTATCCTCACTCCCTCTTGTTTTAAGAACAAAGTGAAGGCATTTATTGTTGTAAAAGGGGCTCAGTAACTTAAAAGTTTTGTGATTGTGATTGTTGTGAGTGCTGTGAGAGATACCTGGGAAAGATGCCAGGTTTCTGCAGCTCCAGATGTGAATGGGGATGTGGTAAGCATTCCTCTCAAGAGTATGCTGAAAAAACCCTCATAAAATTAGTGATAGTCAGCCACCGATGCCACATGTGAGCAGAATATTGATGTTGTAACATGAAAGAGAAAATTATCACAGCGGTGGCTGAGATTTCCCACAAATCCTGTTATTTCTTCTAGGAATTTGTCTGAGGATCTGACATAGAGTGTAAAAAATGTACCCTAAAATATATCAGGAAAGTTGACCACTAATAGAACCTGACATCTGTGTTCTGTTTTAAAGATATAACTGTCTGAGCAGTTAATTTCATGATTTTTCTTGTTAAGCCACGAATTTCAATTAAGGTATAAAATTGATTGAACAAATGTGTTCCAGTTGTTATGGCCAAGTCCATAAATTACCATCTTCTTGGGCAATTAAGAAATGCCTAGGTAGGATTCAGTGTTTTGGTGTGCATGGCAAATCCATGACACTAATGTGCCATTAAAGAGATGGATGGAAAGTGTGTTTCATTTATCAATGTGTCTGATGGTAGGCTTGCCATTTCATGCAGTGATAAATGGTCATACAAGCTTTAATTCTTGTGATTTGTAAGAGTATTTCTGCTGTTTATTTGGCACTTTTAATCTCACTTTCGGCCTGATGCCTCCTCTGGGTCCTTCTTTTGAAAGCAACTGGGCTGGCAGCAGGAAGAGTTTTTTCTAATTGTATGATGAAAAGTAGTATGTTGATCTTAGTGTTCTAGAACTCAAATAAAAATCTTTAGAAATAATACATCTGACTTTGTCTCAGTTGTAGGGACAAAACAAACCTGGGACCAGAATTTACTCACTGGCCACTTGCCAGGTCCCACTTGGCCCCAGTGCATTGGAACCAAACTTTTGTTCCCCAAAACCAGCCCTGCAGGAACCGTGAGCCTGATCAATAGATGTTCTGGAGCAGCAGTGCCCAGTGTCATCCTCCCCTGCCAGGGGAAGCGGTGGCACGTTGGTGGCCTCTTCGCTGCACTATGCCCACAGCTCTGTGGAGTGTGTCACCCTGCAGGGAGGATCCCTGGATTCCACGGGACTAATGAGCCACTCTTCATGGCCTCATAGACCACGGCAGGTCTGTAAGCAGCCCTGTAGGAGCTGCTGCTCTAGTGAAGCCATGTAAGTGCAAAGCATAGGAAGGATTTAATCACTGGTGAGCTTTTTTCAGGCCAAGGAAACATTTTCTTCTATTTGAAATGCACAAGAAGAGTTTTGGTGGCTGCTTACTTGTTTTCATTATTTTTTCTCACCTAAACTCTTTAGTTGTCTTCTCCTTTCATAGATGATTCATATTTTAAAAGACCAGGAGGTACAAAGTAAATCATTTAATCATTTCTTAATTGTTTATTTTGCTTTCAGCCTTCCCTTGCCCTGCAGGCACCTCTGCCCCTCAGCCAAATTATTCTCTCAGTTACCCTGATATAAATCCAGCATTAACCTCTTCAACTTCAGTGTGATTGGAAAGCCTCTGATCTGTTACTGCTTATTAAAATGGCACTTCTTTGTCAAAGTCCAGCAAGTGTAAAACAAACTTAGCAGTTCAGCTAAGATGAGGGCATCAATGTTCACAGGTTAAGCACCAGAAAAGAAACTTAAAATTTGTACTTATTGGGACATATAACTGCTGGTTTTTCAACAACTTTCACCCCATGATCTGCCAGAAATTTAAAACTGAATGTGGCCTTTTTAGCTGAGAGCTTTCTTCCCTCTCCCAGCTCACACCAATGGGACTAACAGGAAAAGCACAAATATGCCGCACTGAATGTGCTCCCGGGTGCATTTGTGACCCTGATGCACAACTGAAATTGCAGCGGAGGCAATGGGATCTCTCCAGTCAGCCCTTCCTGCCCTCTGCTCCTTTCCTTTGCTTCTCAGACTTTGCTTCCTGAGTAGCAGATATCACCATACACCATGTAAGACAAGTGGAAAAAAATCAGCTGGCTGGGCTGCCTAATGGCCACTGGGGTTAATGATAGTGTTTCAGTGGCACATAGCTCCTGCAATCAGTCTTGGGCTGAGTAAAATAAAATAAATCTACAGGAAATCCAAGAGAGACGATTTCCAAGCATGAAACTCCCACACCTCCTAAAATTGGCTTGCGCACAGTGTACACAGTACGTATCCTACCAGCCTGGGTTCATGACAACTTTTACGTGGAGGGCAGAAGATTGATTTGCTGTACAGTACTAAAAGTCTCAGCTCAGCGTGTATCAGTTGAACACTAAGTTCATTTCTGGTCTTGTTAAGACTTGTGATTCATCACAGAGAATAAAATAAACTAGGTGGCAGGCAATTAGTGTGCATTGTGTGAACCTAATGGTCCTGTTTGTGGTGAGCAATGAGACACAAACCCATAATCAAGGCATAATTTATCTTGGGAAAATTTTATCTTGGGACTGAACAGAGATAGAAACAGGAGTTTTAAGCCAATGAGAGAGTTCCAGCTTTCCAAACGTACCCCATGCACAGTGCCTGCTCTTGAAGCTCAAAAATCATGGTGATTAAAATAATGATGTGGAAAATGTTGGTTTCTGTGCCACATCCCCTCATAATTTATCAGATATTCATTACTGCTTGATTCCATCCCATACTTTGTGTATTCCATTTGAAAGTGAAAGCCTCCTTACAATGTTTTAAGAGGCTATGAAAAATATTATAGGACTGTAGTATCTCTTGGCCTGTAAAATCAGACATCTCAGCACTGCGAACTCAGCTGCGTAGAGTTCAAGGGAAGAGGTATAAACCCTTAACTAGCGCTTTAAGTAAAATTCCCTTTAAAATACTGTGCTTCTAAAACCAGCTTGTACTGTAAGCTGTGCAGCATAGGAAAGTATGTCCCCCAGTGGGAAACTGGGCATGAAGGGCATATCCTGTAAATAAATGTGTGCAGCTCCCGGCCCTTCCCTTCCCTAAGGTGCCTGTGCTGCACAGCCCCAAGCAGTGTCAGCACCTTGTCTTGGTCCGAGCCATGGCTCTGGGGTATGCAGGGTGTTGCAGGGTGTCCAGTGCCTTGCCTTTGTGTTGCTGAGAGCCAGCTCTATGGCAGTATGTTCTCCTTGGTTTTGTGCTGCTGTTTTCATGGACCTGCGTACCCTGACAGTGGTGTTGTGACAGGCTCTCATGGGAAGCGATTGCCACCAGCATGAGAATTGTCCCTTCCTCCTCCTCTTCTCCTGCCCTTTGGCTGTAACTTTTGGTTTACATCAGGGAACCCAATAACATACCTGCGCAAAGCTTAGCAACCAGCCACAATTTTGTTATAATTTTTCCCCAAAAGCAACTTTCGCTCTTCTATTCTATTCTAATAAACCTTTGCGCATATGAACACATCTCAACATCTTTTGTGCAATCTGGTTGTTGAGCAATGTCACCTGGAGGTTGGAGCATCGGAATTGTAACTTTCTGATTTCTTTTCCCAGGGATGAGACACTAAAGAGGGGGAAATAGTTGTATGTTGGGGATGAACATTTATTTTTTGAGGATGATGTAAGCTTTCTTTGAGGAGTTCTTCAGTAAGGAATATTGAATGTGGTGGAAAGAGCTTCCTTATAGGTTTTTTTTTTTGCCCAGGAGGGTGTAGATTTGTTTCACATGTTGTGGCTTTATTATCTCCAGGTCTCTTGACCTCTGGTAGGTGTGACATGGCCACACTCAGTGAAGGTTGGTGGAGTAGATAATAAGATCTGGTCAGGAAATTTTCTTTCTCAGCCTATTTCCATACATATTCAGTCGGTCTTGTCAGGAGAGTACGCACTGACAGCTCCTCGAGGCAGTCGATGCTTGGGTCTGATATCTGGGCTACGCTGTCTGGTTTGATTAGCTGGTGTGCTAGGTGAAATACCTCTGAAATACTAGCGATTCTGCTGTGTTGATTGCAGAGTAGTGGAAGGCTCATTTTGTCTCATATTCTGCAGTGTCATAGTCCAGTAGGAGGAATTTGTGTGATGACAGATGGATTTAGGATGGTAGGTTTTTATTCTGCTGGCCTTGTAGCTTTTTTCTTTCAGTCCTCCTGTAATTTGTCTGCCAACCACGGTGATTTATTTAGAAGGGATTGAGGACTGGACAGTTCTTAGTACAGGTATCAGTGGTAGGAGGCATCAAGTAATTGTTATGTTTTATGGATTTGAGGGGATTTTGGCATTATATTGGAACCACTTATTCTCACCAAATGAGACGCAATCTGGAAAAAAAATCTCTGAAGCAGATGAGCTACAATTATTTGTTATGCTTTCAGGAAAGCGGGTCCTGACCATACCTGTGTGAGGTGAAGATTAGGGACAAGGACAGGTCTGTGTTGGGGAAATCTTCAATATGCACATATGATGAAAGAGGGGATCCTGTCTGTATGTGCATGGGCCTCCAGAGACCACTTGAGAGAATTCCATGATTTCTTTAGTATAGGGACCAAATCAACTCTTAGGACATCTGCACTTTGTTTGGAGATTCAGGCCAAAAAAGGCCTGAAGGACTATGAGGGTTTCAGTACCAGGCTGGCCAAAACATCTGTATGTCTCTCCAAGGAATGACATCAGATGTCTGCTTGCCAAAAGGAGCCAAGGGGTTCTCCTGTTCTTCACTTCAAATGGGGTCCTTCAAATCTTTTTGTGTTTGATATTGATCACTTCTGATTTGAGATCATGGGAACAGGACCTCATGGGACAAGTGAGGTGGGCATTTCCTCCAAAAGCAAATATGCAGCCTTCGATACTGCAGTCCACCAGGCTGCCTTCTTAAGAATTGATGGAAGTGGTTCGTTCATGGTCAGCCCCTTAAGTGCCTGCTAGATTTAGTGCTGGGGTAGTAAAATGTCTTTCAGTTGGCCTAAGAATGCCAGTTACTACAATTTCATGCTGTCTGTTTAGAGATGCTTATTTTCAGTAGTGTACAAGTGTTAATGGCAACAGCTTCTAAGTTTGTATCATCCCGTGGGTTATGGGTGAACCATTAAAATTCATATAAAGAGCAGTGAAATATGAAAGCTGCTAGGAAAAAGAAAGGTCCATTAAATATTTACACTAGATTGTGAATCAGCTGCTTTACTGTTAGTTAGTGAATAAATAAAAAACAATCTTGCTGTTATGACAGAAAAGAGTTTACCAGAAACAGCTTCCCACATCAGGTTAGGAGGGGAGTGCAAGAAGATAGCATCTCATGGATAGATTGTAGTAAAGGACCTGATGTGATGTCGTGGTTTAACTCCAGCCAGCAACCAAGCCCCCCACAGCCACTCGCTCACTCCCCACCGGTGAGATGGGGGAGAGAATCAGAAGGGTAAAAGGGAGCAAACTCGTGGGTTGAGGTAAAGACAGTTTCATAGGTAAAGCAAAAGCCATGCATGCAAGCAAAGCAAAACAAAGAATTCATCCACTACTTCCCATCGGCAGGCAGGTGTTCAGCCACCTCCAGGAAAGCAGGGCTCCATCATGCGTAACGGTTACTTGGGAAGACAAACGCTATCACTCTGAACGTCCTCCCACTTCCTTCTTCTTCCCCCAGCTTTATGTGCTGAGCATGGCGTCATATGGTCTGGGATATCCCTTGGGTCAGTTGGGGTCAGCTGTCCCAGCCATGCCCCCTCCCAGCTTCTTGCTGGTGGGGTGGGGTGAGAAGCAGAAAAGCCTTGACTGTGTAAAGACTGCTTAGCAATAATGAAAACATCCCTGTATTATCAACACTGTTTCCAGCACAAATCCAAAACATAGCCCCATACTAGCTACTATGAAGAAAATTAACTCTACCCCAGTCAAAACCAGCACGTGACTTGTCCTAGAGTCAGCAAAAGCCTCTTCCTTGCCCTTAGCAGTAAGCAGGTAGGTCTCTACTGTAGTGTCCATCTCTCAAATGTATCATACATTTTCATGACCCAGGAGATGATGGTTTTTATTTTTTTCTGTGCATAGCCTGTGTTCAGGCTTGATCCTTTATGGACTGCTTCCATGTGGAGGAAAAGGAGAGCTGCTGTAGTCTGTTATTTCACGCTTAATATAAAGAAAACCCTTCTATCAATCAAAAGTGGACAATTGGACCAAAAAAACCAAGCCTAGCGTTCAAGGTTGTCTCACAATTTGTGTACACTTTATGATCTTAGGTTGTGTTGCCATCAGCCTTTGTATGTATGCATGATTCATGTCATGAAATATGATTTGTGTGTCTTGAAACCCCTTATTTGACATAAGGGTCTTAGTTACAGAGATGATGGTAGCAACAATGTGGTCTTCAATTTCAGATTGGCACCGAATGGGACGCCAAGGAAAGGCTTTTCCGGAATTTTGGAGGACTCCTCGGGCCGACAGATGAGCCAGTTGGCATGCAGAAATGGGGAAAAGGCCCCAACGTCACCGTTACTGTCATTTGGGTGGATCCTGTTAATGTAATTGCAGCAACGTATGATATTCTTATTGAATCCAGTGCTGAATTTACTCACTACAAACCACCTTTGAATTTGCCCCTGCGACCCGGTGTCTGGACAATAAAAATTCTGCACCACTGGGTACAGGTAGCTGAAACCAAATTCCTTGTTACTCCTCTCACCTTCTCTAATCGGCAGCCTATCAAACAAGGTAAGTTTTATTTGGTACAAGAATAATACAGTTGTTATGTCTGTATTCACTGTAAATGCTGCTGTTAAAGTAGCACTGTTTTGGAAAGGAGAAAAGAAAGGAATTTTATAGATACTAAATCAGAAAAAATTGTTGCACTAAGACAAGCGGAAGTGTCTGTATCCAGTCTGTAAAACACAGCTGCTTTGAACAAAAGGCTACTTATATCTTTAAAATATGCACAGTTCAGAATCCATAGAACTTCAGAATCTCAATAGTCTAAGAGCTATCATAAAAGCCATCATTTAGAAATAGAAAGAAAAGTGGACCTTTCTCTGCTGCTTTTCGTTCGCATTTGCTCATAAAGAGTTACAGATGTTTGTTATCTTGACAAAGTCTGCGTGTTTAACAATGAAAGCATTAATACACAAACTGCTGAATTAGACAAAATTACCCTAGGCCAGAGCTCACCTGACATATTGTCAGGTCCAGACATTCACTCTTGCCTGATACCTGCCAAAACCTGCTCAGTACCTGCCAAGCAGTTGTGTTACAGAAATATCTGTGGATATGGCAGTCCCGGTAAGTACACTATCAGACCCACGGTGACATTTTTTAGAAAGAAACCATTTTCTTCCCTGCCACAGCAGCCCTGAGCCATCCAAATACAGAGGTCATTCTTGGGCTGCTGGTGTCTACAGGCTCCCAGCAGCAGTTTGCACTGGCACAGGCATTGTTTGAGTGCTCGGGTCTTCAGCTGGTGCCGAGGACACTGGGCTGGCAGAAGAGAGAACATTTTGTAGCCACACCTGTTTTCTTATTCAATAAGATCGAAACAAGTTTGTTGCTATGAATATCTTTATCATTCTTCTTAACATGCTCAAGTGCTTCCCTCTGCCCAGTATTAATATTCATAACTTTAGACATCTTAAAGTTGCTGGATATATGAATGATCCTATTAAGTTTTCAGAAGTTCTTCTTCCTGACAAGGCAGCGAAGAAACTGAGTCAGGCATTTACCTTCCAACATAACGTGCTGCTTCCGTAATGCAAACACCACCAGACAACTGCTGAGAGCTAATGCAGCCCTTACCTTGCTCAACAGGAGCTTGATTCTACACATTTCTCAGCAGAAGAGCTAACTTACTGATTTCTTCTTCTAACATTTGGGGGCATCGTTTCTTAAGCAGAAACTAAACCACCACCAACCTGCTGCTGTTACTAGCTAATAGGCAATGATAAATTGTGAAGAAATGCCATGTGTAGAAGGAATACATTTTTAAAGTTTGAGGCAACCTATTTCTAAACGTAGCTGTTACTGACTCGTCTCCTGGAAATTAATGAATTCCCTGTTCTTTGCTAATTTAACAGTTAAGGCATAAATTGGATGGAAAATGTGGCATGCAGCTAGCAACCTTGCTGCTTTTCCCTATAGCGTGAGAGCGCTGTGGACAGTTAAGCCTGTCTCAAACTTCAGCCATGAGCCTGCACTTTATGGTGTAAAGGCAAAACTCCCTTTGGTCCAAACTCTGAATCTGGAATAACTCCACTGAAATTATGGAGTTACTCCATATTGCCCATTGCAACACTGGGAGATGATCTGACCCATATTTTTTGTTAAAGAGCCCTGTTCATTCATATGGTAACTAGAATCTACTATAGGAATGAAATATAAAGCTTGGGAACAATACTATTTAGGAAAAAAGCCTCAGGAGTGATTTGCTACTGATGATGTAATGTATAATCTCCAGATGTCTAAGGCATGAAGGTAAAGAAGAAAATTAATTACAGGGGCAGATAGTGACACTCCACTGTAGTTAGAATTGTATTTACAATGCAAATTCCTGTTTGGGTTTTTTAAGGCTTTCTGTCTCAGTGACACTATTGTGCTCTGTGCAGGCAATTGTCATTTAGCTTTGACTTCCAGCTTTTGTCAGTTTGTCACTACTTTATTATTTAAATAAATTTTTCTCTGCCAAATAAAGGCATTGTGAGAGTATGACAGAACAATTAGAACTTCTAAAAGAACAATTTCTGTTACTGTTGTAAACAATGCGAAAGCTGCCAAATATCTTCTAAAATGAAGAGATAGTATTATTGTCTCGTCTTAACACTGAAAATAAAACATACATCAGACTTAGCCAGGAGTTGTCAGCAGAAGAGAGGAATAGGTTTTATTAGGGATTTCTTTAAAATTTTGCTCTTCCAACCATCCTCCCTCACCTCTACCCCCACCCCCTCCCCCACCCCCCAACAAAAAGATAAAAAAAAAAGCTATAGCTCTTGTCAGAAAGATTACCCTGGAAAGTAATTTGCTACTCCAGAAGCTTTTGAATGACTGATACATTTCATACCACTTTGCATGTCATTTGCTTGATAATGATTTGACCCCCTCTGTCTCATATACTCCAGATGTAGAAACTTGAGTCCACGTAGTTACATACATAAAAATCTGTCCGTGGTCTTGTGTGTGCCATTCTAAAAAGTGTTTGCACAAATCTGGTAGCCACGCAGCAGCCACTAAAATCTTGTGTCTTGAGAGCATGAACACAACAACAGTCACTGTATTTCCTAAATCATTACTTATCTACACATCACTTCAGCACAGAGCACAGCAAGGCAAAGTTGCTTTCGGTTTCCCAGCATCATGAAGGGAGCCACTTGCTCCTCTTTTGAATAATCAGAGCGAAACATGTTTGTTCCTGTATCGTGACTCTCCAAATTCATGATTACAATTCAAAATAAAAAGAAATTAATCATGGGACAGCTACCAGCAAAGATGTTTTGTTTAGTATTATAAGAATAGCATATGCAGCTAGTTTATTCATTTTCTATTCCCATTTTTTTATTGTTTTTGGCCTAGAGTCTGTGCATGCAAGTAAAACCATAAAGGGAAATCAAGAGCAGGTATTTTCTTTGATATTGTGTCCGGGTGTGCATAACTGACAGAATGTAAACTGTTTTGAAAACATGGATTCATTGACCTTTTCAAAATCTGGATCTATAAGAGTTAAAGAGATCAGTTCTTACATGGAATTACTGATGCTGGGAGGTTTGGGGTGTTTCCACTGTAAATGAGGCTCCCAAAGCTATTTCAGTGGAAAGTCTAGAATCTGATGTTATTTATTCTTTCTTGCTCTTCTTCCCCCTCCAGTCATCCAAATCTGCATCTATTTTCTGTAGTGTGAGCTGTGTCACTGAGCAGCTCTGCCTTCAGCAGATCCTCTGGCTTGAGAGTGCCTTCAAGTGTTTGCCTGGTTGGAGAAAGAAAATAAGAAAAGGAAAATTAAGTGAATTTGTGAGATAAATCATTTGAAGAAATCAGGTTCACTTGCTCCACCGGTGTCTCCTTCCCGCTACGTCCTGCACAGCCAGATTCTGTTTTATTCTTCTTCTAAATGGCGATTTTAAGTTTCTCACCATATGGCGGAGTGTGTTAAAGCCAAGTGCTCCATGCTTACTGTAAGGACACGGGAGGGCTGCCAAGGACCAGCAGAACACCCCAGGATTAAATTGTGCCAAGACAGAGAGGGGATGTAACATGTGGAGGAGACAAAACAGGGAGATCAGTGGAAGATCACTAGCGGTGATAATAGAGAGGAATGGGGGTTTCTTGCTGTCTGCTTTAGGCAGTCTGAATGTAAGTGCAGTTCAGGGGCTCGAGCCAGATGTCCAGGTCCCCTGCATAGGGACTGTCAAGGCAGAACCAAACAGGTATAATTCAAAGCATTTAGCCAGCAGTTCACAAACTATAATCCAAGCTACCAAGTAGATTTCAATTCCTAAGAAAACAGCAAATTCAGTAGAGGTTGGCTCTGCATCCCCATCATCCTGCTTTACCACCCTTCCGTGCTCTACAAAGTCTGTGTGAAGCAGTCATGCCAAGCGTGATCACACATGTCTCCCAGGGGCACTGAGAGGGGAAGAGAAAAAGCCAAAGCAATTTCATTTTTAAATTTGAGTTTATATTCGTGGCAAAGTTTCCACAGCCATCTCCCAGCTGGAGTGACGATAATGAGTTGTCATGCGTTTAATGTATAGTACCTGTTTCATTAAAGCTAAATAGGTTACTGTGAGCCAGTGGGCAGATTCACTTCTGGGGCAGAAAAAGCCCCAGACCACAAGCTGATACCAGATGCTGGTTTGAAAATAAATAAATAAATGAATAAATAACCCCCTTCTTCCTTCAGTCAGGGAGGGCAGCGAAGAGCATTCTCCTTTGCCTTAAGAGAGACCTTTCACGTTTGGTTCCTAGCTTGGTCACGTGCCCTGGACACGGGGCTTCCGATCTCTGCTGCTCTGCAATGGGACAGGGAGCCTTAAATGCCAGCTCCTGGTCCCTATGCCCTCTAACTGCAGCCACCTCTTTCAAAGGCTTGATGGCATTAGCAGATGTACTGCGATGCACACGTGCATCTCAAAGGCCTTTTAACCTAATCCATATTTATAGATCATCTTAATTAATTATATACTGGGAAACCTTTGTTTTGCCGTTGGTTGTTTGCAGTGGCTCAATCAATTCTAATTGCATCTATACAGATTATAAAGTGGGTGGCAACTTGTGTCAGAACTGCTGTGATTTCTTTAAATTAACCAGAGGTAACATGACAAGTTCTTGATAAACGCTGTAATAGCAGCAGGCAAGTGCATGGCTGCAGAAGAGTAGACATGCCCTGGAATCGTCATTCCGAGAAAAACCCTGAAGACAGGGATTTGCTTCAAAATTTAGTTCAGATCCAGTTGACAAGGAGTCGATTAGCTTCACAGTGAGCAAATGCAGCACTGTCTTGTTTGCTGCAAGAGAAAACAAACAAAATGTCAATAAAAAATTACCTCTTTGCCAGAGGGTTTCAGCACAATTCAAGTAAAGAAATAAAGCTGTACATTCTGTGTTGCTTCAAAAAAACCCACAGGTCTAGCACCTTAATGTGTTCCAAGGTAACCACATTCTTCATTCCTTAGCCCACTCTCTGTCTAAACTCATTTGCTTTTTCTGCAAAATGAAGAACAAACCCACAGAAAAATGCTGAAATCCCAGCCTATGCGGCTGACTACAGGCTGTGTGTTTAGTCCAAAGAAGTTATACTAAGAAAAGTCAGTTGAGAAATGAAGTGCTCTCCCAGAGTTAAGAGCAAACAAAAATGGGGGACAAAAATAACTCATTTTTTAAAGCTATAGTTAGAGTCAGTGGAATATATTTTGCATTCATACATGTCCTTCTGAAGTCAAAGGGCTATTTATTTGGATGTGTTTGCTGGCAAAAAAATCTGGCTTAATGTCTGAAGTTCAGCTAATTTTGAATTCGTTGCTCTAACTGTAATATTTAAATGTCTAAACACACATCTCATAGGGGCAAGCCTCTTTCTTGTTTTTTCATGAGCAAGGACTGAAGTGTCAGTGCTTCAAAAGCATGCCCAGTAGCTCGGGGGCTCTTTTCATACAGTACTTCAGGGCTTGGGATCCACACTGTCCCCCTCCTGTCCCAGCCCAGTAAGTTATAGAGTCATGATTATCTCTCTTTCGTTTTTCCTTTAACGGAAAGAGGAATATCCCACGTCTACCATAGCTTGGATGAGCAGCATCCTCCTTACTTTGTCCTCTGAACTTTGTAACAAAGACTTCGAGGCTCCAGGAGAGGGTTCTGAATTGAATCCTCAGCACTTCCTATTGATTAGTATACATAGCTCTGCACTCGGATTGCTGTTACCCAGCTCTTTCTTTATAGGACACACAGACACCTAACTTGGGGGGTTCGTGCTGCTGTGGGGCCAAGCAATCCCTCGCCAGTACCGTGCCAGGGATTCATCATGTGTCTCACATCAGAGAAGCACATTTTCACTGTGGGCAGCGGTAGCCCGGAACACACTGAAAAATGTAGTGTTTTGTTCCCTTTAGTACTGTCCTCAGCAGTCTTTTCTTTTCCTGTCTGCCGATATTTGTGTGTGTCTTTTCAAAAAAGTGTATCTTCAGTCCCAGTAAACGCTATTACTGTTGTACCTGCCGGCAAGCCCTTGCAGCGCGGCTGGTTCTGGGGCAGAGCACAGCAGTCACTTAGTGGCGCAGCCCAGAACAGCGGTGTGTTGGTATGAGAAGCACAGCATATCCAACACAATTACAGCAATAGCAGAGTGGAGAAATTTAAATTTGTTGAAGATGCTGACCCTTATTTTAGCAAAAGCAGCCCGCTGATCTTAAACAACAAGGGTCACAGACTCGGAGGAAAAGATGATCTCCTGCTGCATCACCAGCACTGGCTCCTATAGTTTCTGTAGGTTTCATTCCTTCCAGTCCTGATAATCCACCAAGTCCTGAAGCCTGCAACAAGCGTGAGGCTGAGCCAGAGAGAAGAGCAAGTTCCGTTTCATCCTGTTATTTGTCTCTTGTTCCATGTACTGAACACATGCACAACAGGCTTTAATTCAACAAGCTCTCTGAATTGCCTGTTTCAATCAGATGATCCTGCCAGTAATGCCAACTCTTATTTGTTTTGGGATTTTTACTTAGAATGTTCCTATTTAATTAATATGTTGACAAACAGTCTTCCATATTTAATTGCTTCCAAAGGAGGAAATTTAATCATGTGTACTTGTTCTGTTTCTTAAACTGCAGTGCTCTGGCAGAGCACACTTCTGACACATGTGCATGGACTAAACTCTTTTTGAATAGAGGTTATTGTGGCTATCTACCATTTAAAATAAAAAGAGGGGTTTAGATAAATGCAGCAACAATTAAGTGATGTATAATGGTGATGGGGATGTGCCGAACTAATTTAATTGGGTATTTGAAGTAATGGACTTGCACAGTATTTGACATTAAAGACTTTGCAAATGTAACAGCAAAGCTCCAATTAAACGTCCCTTTTCCCTCTAAATAAATGTACTGATTTATTGCCAGCGCCTGAGCTACTGTCCTCTGCATGGAAGAAAGGACTCAGTGTCAGACTGCAATGCAGGCAGCAAGGACATGTGGAAGGAATTGTAGCCATGAATATGTAATTCCTGGCCTCTAAACGCTATCTGAGCATGGTGGCTTTCCTAGCCTGGAGCACCCTGAATGGGCCCATTTTGTGTTCTAGACAGTGTGTATGTTGGCAGAGCTAAACATATCCTCTGTGCTGCCAGAGTGAGGATGCTAGGGAAGTCAGCTCAGCTGAGAACAGAAAGAAATGGTTGAAAATTTACTCCCAAGAGGCATGCAGTGAACATTTTGGAGGGTCCCATTCTGATTTTATGAGCCGCACCTTGGTCCGCTCTCAGACCTTAAGAAGTCAGCCAGCCTTAGATGAAGGCAGTCTTAGGCGCAGTGTCCAGTTCAAAGTCTTTGAAGGCATTATCATGGCCTGACAATGATTTTTACTGCAGTGTTACAGATTTGGGGCAATGTACTGCATTTTGCTGATGTGGAAGAGTTACTGCAAGGAAAGTGGCCACAATGCAAAGAAAAGTGTCATTAGGAAATGGTTGTGATCCAGCACAAGAGTTTGAAATATAATTGTCACTAGAGAATACTTTCCCAGCGAGACTGGAGCACTTCCAGGAATGTTGCTGAGGCTACACATATTTCATTACGGGTCGGGTCGGGTCGGGTCTGGTCTGTCCAAGGCCATGGTGTTGTCCTTCTAGTGCCAGGAATGGCACCACTTGATTTTTGGAGGCAGATTGAGCTAACAAATGTTGTGACTTTTCCACAGCAGGGCAAGGTTCATAAGTTTAGAAAAAAAACCCAGACTGAGATCTTGACTCTTCCTCCTAGACAAATCAATGATAGCGCTTGAAGGTCTGATGAGGGTCGGCCGCCTTCTCACACCAAGCGTCTTTGAACTGTTTCCTGATTTCAAAGCACAGCCTTCCCTGAAAGACCACAGGGGTAACTTCAGCTGCACGGGGCTTATCTCCCAGGCTGCTTCTGTGGTGAAAGAGGCAAGATTAGCTTCTCCTGAATGCAAAATGGGTTTCTCCCAAGAAGGAGCTGCTGCGTGTTGATCAGGCTCCGGGTACAGACAGGAGCTTGTAGCTGGGATGCCCTTGAGGCTGGGCCTGCCTTTGTGTTGTGCTGTGCCAAACAGCTCTGTGTCGGGCCTGGGCGTCCCTACAGCTCTGGGGACACCGGTTGTATGTGATGATAAGGATGACGCTGCTTTCACTCTCAGGACTTCGCCCTGCTAACGCAGCGCTTGCAGGGGTAGCGTCCCAGTGAGGGAGCTCGTAGTGGTGAGCGTGAGGAGCCGAAGAGCTGAGCACAGCCAGTCATCCTCGGGATGCAGTGCATCCTCGATTCTGGGGAAATAGACTACAGTGCACCACTAACTTTTGCCTTTTCGTCTGCTGTACCCTTAGATCCTGAAGGTTTGTTTGGGTTTCTTTTTTTTAATGCGCTAACTTCTTTATTTCTGCATTTCCAGAGGAAGCCGTGAAGTATCACAGCGGGCCTCCAAAGAATGCGTACATGGAGCAGAGCTTCCAGGGCTTGAACCCCGTCCTGAATATCCCCATCAGCGCTGCCCGCGTGGACCAGGCCAAGCGGAATGCGGGGCTCGTGGGCACCCGGCTGGAAGCCTGGGTGGACTCTCTGGTCAGCAGCGTCTGGTCAGCTGTGGACATCTGCAGCACCGGCCCCACTGCCTGTCCGGTCATGCAGGGCTGCGCTCAGACAGCCTGGAGCTCCCTGAGCCCAGATCCCAAATCTGAGCTGGGCCCTGTCAAACCTGACGGTCGCTTGAGGTAGCATCTGGTACGCTCTCCTCTGGCATAGGTTTTTAAAAGGGAATTTAACCTTGCTCGTATGTGAATCTCGCACCAGATTTCAGAAACCTAAGGGATATACTTTTTTGTTACTTGTTGCAATATAATTCATTTTAAAACAAAGAAAGTTCTGACAAGGCCTTTGGCACTGCCCTCTCCATCAGCCTCTCGGGTGTCCCCGCACCCTCTGTTGTCCCGCGGCGCCCTGGCCGTTCCGCACACCACCGCGCTCGCCGCCTCTGTGGGCTTTGAAACGGTAGCAGCAAGCCATGGAGAGGGCAGTGAAGGAGCAGCTGCTAAGTGTTTTTTAAAAATAAATTTGTCGGTACCTCTGCTGTTTCATAGGCTTTCATTATTTTGCTACCATGAATAAATCACAGCAAAATTCCCTTCTACTTAGGCTTCCTGGGGAGGTTGGTTACTGCAGGCTAGAGCCTGTATGGCCGCATTACCTCACAGAACATGAAATAATTATGGTACACCCTCACTTTTTTTTTTTAATAACACAAAGTAATTCTGGACTCAGCTAATGTCTGCTGTTATCCTAGTTAGAGAAAATGAGCAAAAGCAGAAACTTTCAGATTATTTTCAGAGATTTTTTAGACTAATTTCATGATAAACTCTAAATGGAACCAGTGTTTTGCTATGTTAATCTTCTATGTCTCATGCAGTCAGGTTCAGGGTCTGGGTACTAAGAGTACTAGTTTAAAGAACAAAGAAGCATTTTGGATTTCAGCCCTTTCAAATCTGCAGGTTTTTTTTCTAAGCCCACCAGCACCTAAGCATTTTCACAGACTTCCAGTACAGCAAGTGTGTATGTGTAGGTTGGGTGTGGGTTGTGATGTGTCTGCTCACACCCGTTGCTGATTTTGCTTGTGCGCTGAGCTGAGTTTTTTCTCAGGCAGTGGAGTTGTGTGGAACCAGTAAAATGGTAGAATTGGCACCTAAATCTGCAACAGCACATTTCTTCCCTAATTTGAGTGGTGGCTCGTAAGTCTTAACACTAATTCCCTCCCTTGATCTCAGATCTGCCAGCTCTTCATGAAGAAGGGTCCATCTAGGCTTGTGCAGGGCATCCGGAAGGCTGTGCAGGACATGGGTTCCTGACTGAAGCGACGAGCTGAACGTGAAGGAGAGCAATGCCATGTTTCTCAGTGCTTTTACTTTATTCTGTCAACAAACTCTACCCTTGCCTGTCTTCAGAATTTCTAGCAGGCTGCATCCTGTTTGAAATAGGCATGTTTTGCATCATTTTAAGCTGCATTTTCTACAATAGGAAAAAAATCAATTTACATTCCAAGAACTTTTTAAAATACAGGTTTTATATGCAAATTCATCTCCAACTAATGCATTTTACATAAGCATAAAACATGCACTTTGTTGTTGTTGCTGTGGTAATCTCTTGTTAACAACAAAAACCAAAAAGGCTGTTAAAAGCTATTGGGTTAATTAGGAAAAAAAATCCTGTTGGTGTAAGAAAGTAAGGTATCTGTTTACCCTTCTGTGTGTATGGCTAACTTTCTGCTGATGAGAGTTAAGCATTCACATCAAGGAGGGAAATAGACCCTTAAATCATTCCGTAATCGCATCTCAGAAAGGTTGAATTCCCTTTTAAACAACAGTTGCAAGATGACTGTAACACACAGATCCCAGTGGCTTGTAGTATCTCTCTCCGTAGTATTGGTTTAAAGCTACTCGCAGTTTGCTTTGGACTTGAAATTGCAGTGTCAGCTGTGCTGGCATTAAGGCAGAGCATTGAAATGTTTATCTGGCACAAAAATGGATGCGTAGAAGGAACAATTTAGATATTTATTATTTATGTTTTAGTCAGTGACTAATTAGTAGGTGCTGCTGTTGCAGCTTGAAGATTATGTTATCTTACTAACTGAAGCTGCCTTTATTAAGAAAAGGCCTTCCTCCCCTCATACCTCCCTTTCTTTTTTTGTCTTGATTTTGACAGTCACGAGAGCCGTAGTTTTAGGAAAGCTTGTGGCAATGAGAGGTGGTTGAAATATTTCAGTCAAGATGATGTACCAGCTTTTCAAACGGCTCTAGAGGCAAGTGTGTTTAAAACCAGGGTTGCCAGCAGGTTTATACAATAGAAACACGGTGTTATTACTTATTCAGTAGGGGTTTTTTAAACAGTGCTTGTTTTTAATCTAACATTCCTTTGTCAAGTTCAAATTTTCTGGGGACCTCCAATCCTCACTGTGAAATCCAGGGCTTTAGTCACACTGATGCAATGGCAACTGCATGGTTCAAGCCCTGCAGATTAAATGAAGAACATCATATTTAGGGCACACAATAAAATTCATTAACAGTCCTAGTCAGTGATTGTTCTCAATAAGACTACCGGGGTAGTTGCAAAATCTTCAGTCTGTCTTGCACATAAGCATATGTATAAGGGTGCGCCCACACACACAGAGATAACTTGTTTTTTAAATTTGATACTTCTTTTATTTTTAAGCAGGAATCTTTTTAAGTGCTTTGTAGGTAAGTTTTCATTATTAACTAGACCAAGCAGAAGGTGGCAACAATCCTGTCTTTTGTGGTTAGAAGAAAATCTGCCACTTTTAAAATATAAGGTGCAAATTATTTTGGTTTAGTACAAAAAAGGGAAACAAAACAAATGGTTGCTGATATATCTATTTACATTATATGCTAGGTTTAAAATATCTCAAAACAAAATTTATATTAGTTTATTTTCTGAAAGACAAAAAGCATCTACACAAAGAAGTTATGTAGCAAGCTGGCAATCCCAGCGTTGCCGTTAAAACATATGATGTAAAACTGAAGAGGCTGGTCCTGCAGTCCTTTCTCAGGCAGAACTTCCACAGAATGCTGACGCTGAGTAAGGACTTCAGAGTCAAGTCCAGTATAAATAAAGGTGTGACTGTATGCTATGAGTAAATACTGTCTGCATTTGAAGTCATCAAAGGATGAGCTGCCATGTTTGGAACATCTTCTTGGGCCAGTGTCAAGTTTTGGACCTAAACGACAACCTCTACTGTAGCTATTAATATGCAGACACAGATACATAAGTTATGTATGGGACACTGTGTCTGAGTTACAAAGTGCTGTAGTTGTAAAGAAGAAAACATGGAAAGCAAGGCTCTTTGCATCAGGGATCAGAGCTTGCTCCAAGCTGATGCTGTGGTAGCACTGCTAAGATCAACGTCCTGCTTAGTGGCTTTTCTAGTTCGGAAATGCCAGACACTTGGAGCCTGTGATGAATATTATATATTGTTAGAAGAGAATAACTTCACAGATCTTACATTTGGTGAAAAGGAGAATTCAGAGCAGGGACCCACAGTTTGTACAAAACAAGCAAGTTATGCATCTTCATTTGAATGTGCAAGTGTTATTTTCCAATCACACTGGCTAGTCCTTGATGAATAGGACTCCAACTGAAAGCCAGTTTTAATGAAAATCCCTTTCTGTGGGAGAGGGGTGTATTTCCATATGCACACATTTGCCCTCTGTGTGTAATGCTTTGCTTGTTTAAATTCCCTGCCCATTCTGCACGATAGCCATGTAACACTTCTATGATCAATCAGTATTACACAGAAGGGGAATGTGGCAAAATGCAGAACATCTATATACGTGGTTTAATGAATTAGGTCCAGGTCAGTCTTAGCATTATGGAACCTGTTTATATGGTAATGTTAAACCTTGAGGCTAATAGAACTAGCTCAAATGACAGTTTATTTTCAGATTTGTCCAATTCTTTCTTTGATGAAATTTGGACATTGAGTAGTAATATTTGTATTTTCATTTTCTGATATTCAAGGTTTTTTTAGAATTGAAATTATGTCTTTATTTTTGTGCTGTATGTAAAAGCAGAGAATTTTAACAATACCTTCATGATACCAAGTGTTATACAGGGAAGTCCATCTGTATCTCTGTTGTTAAGCCTTCATTATTGCTAAGCCTAGAGATACAGGAATGTGCATTCATGTGTTACAAATTGACTTTCCTAGGTATTGGCTTCAGTGCATAATGCATGTACAGTTGTTTAACGGCATATTAACAATGATCCTGCAGCACCTTCAAAAGGACCAACTAATGTGTATTCACCTTCTGTCCATCTCCTACAGCACTAATTGCAATACTAATGAAGTCTTAGCTACGATTATAGTGAACGGAGTAGTGAAGTCAGTGAATCAGAACTGGGATATTCTAAACCTGACCAAAGGGAGAGATGAAGGGTAAAGAAGATGCTGAAACTTTGCAAAAGTTTGACACAGTTGTGCTGCAACAAAACTTGGAACAAACTGGGCACTTTCTGCACAGCAGGGCTGAGAAATGCTGATACTGTGAGACCTCAGCTTTGGCTTCCCAGATAAAAAGAAAACAAGATCCAGATTTTTACTGTGGCCAGGCAATGAGGACCAACTTTCTGTTGATTTCTCTAGTTCTCTTTCATCACAGCTGTCAGAGAACTGCCAGCTTGCCGCTGGCTATCACACCCTCCTCGTTGTCTTCCCAGATCCCAAAGCTTCAGGAGCTGGCCACATGAAACCTTGGCCAACTCCACCACTTTCCGTTAAGCAGGAAGTTTTGTACTTGTATGAGCCAAATCCCGTAGGCTTTTTCAAAAACCCTAGCTGCAGATCAGAAAAGTTTGCTTTTCAGAGCAGCCTTCAGTCAGCTCAGTACTAACACATGTGAAGGAGTTGGTAAAAGTGATAGCAATTGTCTTTTCCTGATTTTCAGGCATGAGTATTTAATATATGTAATAGTAGGTTTGGTTATTTCAGCAACAGAGTAAGACTGACCTGGTAGAAAGTGGCTAGCGGTGTTTCCCACTGGCCTTTGCTTCAATCTGGTTGCGAAAAGATAATGATCTAGATGTGCTTTTATTTCAACCATTCAAGGCCTCCAAGATAGTCTTAAGGTCTTAAGGATTTGTAAGATATTACATTAAACCCATATTAAATGACAATTGAAAACATCATGTAAAAAAGTCTTTCCAGACCAAAC